AAGATGGTGTTATCTCCAAGTTAGACGCAGTACATAAATCAACTGAAAACAAATTTAAAAAGGAAAAGGGCTGAGCGTCAGACAGAAGGATGGGCAGACATGCTTACAAATGTCTCGTGCTTGGAATCCAGATCATAATCTGGCAGTACTGTGTGTCCAGACTGAACGACTGAATGTGTTTGAGCTGTTCGGGTATTTGTTGGATGGATAAACAGGTTTATCCAATCTCCACTCACACCTGGTGATCCAAAAACTTGTAGTGTCTCGATAGGGGCTTTACTGAACTTTTGGCAGAAGTAGCTGCTTTTTAGCATGTTTAAGCTGCAGGAAAATTAACAATTTTAGATGAGTGCATGATGGGAATTGTAAAAAAAAATAAATAAATATGTAAAAGCGTCTGACTCAAACTGGTGTTCTTTCAGTAAACTGATATTTGATAAAGAAGAAAGCAGAACATAGACAAACAACCCAATAGACCCACAGTGGATGGATGGATGGATGGATGGATGGATGGATGGATGGATGGATGGATGGGAGGATGGATGGATGGATGGATAGATGGGATAAAAGATGGATGGAGGATGGATTGTTGAATGGATAATTAAATGCATGTATGTATGGATAGATGTATGGATGGATGGAAATATGGATGGGAGGATGGCTTGGTGAATGGATGAATGAATGGATGGATGAAAGGAAATATGGATGGGAGGATGAATTGTTGTATGTATGTATGGATGGATGGATGGATGAAGGAAAGATGGATGGGAGAATGGATTGTTGTATGAATAGATGGAATAAAAGATGGAAGGAGGATGGATTGTTGAATGGATGATTAAATGTATGGATGGATGGATAGAATGTACGGATGGGTGAAGATATGCATGGGAGGATGGTTTGTTGGATGGATGGATGGATGGATGGATGAATGGATGAATGGATGGATGGATGAAAGGAATGATGGATGGGATGATGAATTGTTGTATGGATGGATGGATGAAAGGAAGGATGGATTATTATATGAATGGTTGAATGAATTGATAGATTAATGGATAGATGGAAGCATGGATGGATGTATGGATGGATGGATGGATGGATGAATGGAATGAAAGAAGGATGGGAGAATGGATTGTTAAATGGATGGATAAATGTATGGATGGAAGTAGAGGTGGATGAAAGGATGGACTGTTGGATGGATGGATGAATGGAAGGATGGATGGATGGAAAGGAAAGATGAACAGGAGAATTGATGGATGGATGGATGGATGGATGGATGGAAAGATGAATAGGAGAATAGATGGATGGATGGATGGATGGATGGATGGAAAGATGGGTAAGCGAATGGATTGTTGGATGGATGGATGGCTGGATGGATGGATGAATAGATGGATGAAAAGAAGAGATAGATGAGAGGATGTATTGTTGGACCGATGGATGAATGGGAGCATTGTTGGATTGCTTTGAAATAAAGCAAAAGCTTAAAAAAGAAAACTGAAAAATGCTATTTTACTTAAACCAATAGAAGATTATTTAGCTTCTTTTAAGGAAAAAACTCTCTAAATTTTGACTTCTTATTTCTGAAAACAAGACAATATGTTCAACTAGTCTAGAAAATGCTTCTTAATTTAAGCCAAGACAAAACAAGACAACAACATTAGGTAAGAAAAACATTTTTGCAGTGCTGTAGGAAATACAAACACAATAGAAGTCACTGGTTACAGGTTTTCAGCTTTTTTGTTCAACAGAAAAAAGAAACTCATAAAGGTAAAGGCTAACAAAACAGAGACAGAATTTTAAATATCAGGTGAACTATCCCTTTACAAAGTCCACAAGGAGAAATATCAAGCTGTGGACACTGACAGAGTATGGACAGACAAACGAATATATGGATGGATGAATTATACAATGTTATATAATTTTATCAACCCGAACCAGTCTAGTAAAATAAAGGCCACGGAAACTTGACAAGTGAACAACAATGCGAAAACCCCAGGGGGTAATTAATTCTCCCTCTATCAGTAAAGAAGACAGCGATGTCACATCAGTATCACACCCCGGTTCACACCTCTGCCGCATATTCCTGTCAATCAACAGTCACCGCAGGACATCCTGTTTGTGAATGGCGGCTGCCTTTGGGCCCTAATGAGCTTTCACACGCTTTAAAAGAGACAAAACGGCAGCTAAATATTTCTTGTCTTGTCGTCTCGTCTCTTTATCATTTGCCTCACATCTCTGCTGAGGAACCACCCGAGTGTAAAAGATGAAATTGTTTGCTTATGATGCATGGGACATTTCGACGAGTCGTCTGAAGTGAATTTAAAACACGTTTAATAAAATGATGTGACCCTAGGCTGTTTTTCTACAGCACAGGAGGAATTATGCGTCAAAGTGGTTGACCCTGCTAAGAATGCCTGTCAGTACACCAGCGCCTTTCATACCAGTCTGAAAACGGAAATCATAACAAGGTCAGATAAGACGGAACAAGACAATGAACGATCAGTAAACCTAGATAATTACCAATGTGGCCAATCCGTGCTACCAAAAATATCACGGTGCTCTGAATAGAGAGTCTTTAAGGAGGAAGGAGAAAATAGTATTTCATATTAATATTGAAGATCCGCAGCGCAGGAGGGCTAATGATGCCCTGGATGCCTATTAATGATACATAATAGAGGATTCTGGAAGTCTGAGTGCTTCATTTGGGTGGTAGGCTATTGGAAGTCCAGTCACTTGGCTTTGTTCAGTCACATAGAGAATCTAAATGCTTTTTTTTTTTTTTTTTCTTTTAGGAAATTATAATGTCCTGTCAGGAAGACAATGCACAGTTTCTTCAATAGATGTTTCAGGGAATATAATAGAACAAAGAAGACGACGATGAGAAAAAAAAAGACTTAAATGAGTGGGAATTACAAACGGTCAATACCTGTCTTTTTAATGATCTCAACCAACACTGCCAAACATGTCACCCAGGTCGGGAACCAGGGGGGTTTGGGTTCTTTGAATGACCCAGCCCCCACTGCCAAAAGTCCAGAATAATAAAAAAAAAACTGTCACATACATGAACTCCCTGTTTTTGACTGCTATGCCATCATAAATTGTGAAATAATCAGTCAACAAAGACTTTAAGGCACCGAAAACAGGACTTTAAAACTGTCAAACTGCTATTGACTACTATGGTCTCTGTTTTTGACTGTAGCAATTCGGTTGTTGCCAACGTAAACTATATTTATTTTCATGAGTCCAACATACAGCTGAGTGGAAAAAAAATCATATTTCACTATTGACTACTGCAATGTTAAATACAGAAAAAGAAAGAAAAAAAAACAAAACATTTTACACATTTTAGTGTATTTTTAACACTGCACCTTATTCTTGTAAAACTAAATGATGAATAGAAAGTGTCCAACACCTGAAGCAGACCATATTAATGTTTATTTTAACAATAATTACAATATTGTTGTATCAAAAATGTTCAAATTGACTTTTTTATTTACACGAGAGGCTGGAAAAATCACACTTTAATATAATGTTAAAGTGACAATATTAACACAGATATATATATATATATATATATATATATATATATATATATATATATATATATATATATATATATATATATATATATATATATATATATATATATATATATATTTAAGTTTTTTATAAAAATGGCCAAATTCTGAGTTCTAAGTTGAATGCGCTGGACAGTTTTTATTTGCCGAATTAATAGGCTATAGTTTTTCATTTTTATTATAACAAAGTCCTAAAGTTATTATTATTATTGTTTTATTTTTTTACATTTAATACATTTTGCCAAACCCAAACTTTTGAACGGTAGTAAAAGTTTGGGTTTGGAGAAACTTATTAAATGTAAAAAATAAATAAATAAAACAATAAATAATAAAACAAACAAAAAATAAAACAAATGTTAAATTGTTTAATATTTATTAAAGGTTTATATAACTAATTTATTATTGTATGCAGTTTCAAATGAAATTATTACTCCAGTCATTATTGCTTTTATTACTATTACAATTATTATTATTATTATTATTATTATCATTATTATTATTATCATTATTATGAATAATAATAATAATAATAATAATAATAATAATAATAATAATAATAATAATAATAATAATAATAATAATAATAATAATAATAATAATAATAAATATTAAAGTTATTTCTGAAAGAACATGTGACTGAAGACTGGAATATTGAAGCTGAAAATTAATCTTTTAAATCACTGGAATAAATTATTAAATTAAATGATAAAGTACTTTTTATTAAGCAATAAGATTTTATAATTTTACAATTTATACTGTGTTTTTGATTAAATAAATGCAGCCTTCGTGAGCAGGAGAAGCTTATTTAAAAATCCTACTGACCCCAAACTTTTAATCTGTAGTGTATATATACTTATAAATGGTCTAATAATTATTTACTGTAGTATGCTACAGTGTAAACAAAGATTTATCTTATAAGCATTTTTATTTCTTCATTCAGTATTTTACATTTAAAACAATAGTACAAATAAAAAATATCACATAAAACTTACAGTTTAACACATAGTTGGATCACAAAATCTATAATAAGGGTCCATTTTTGTCTTTAAAATCAGAATAAATAATTTTTCCTTTGATGTAAATTTTGCTATTACAAGACAATGATTGGCTGAGATGCTACTTGATAATCGGGAATTTGAGGATTAAAAATCATAATATTAAAAATCAAAAATTAAGTTTATATGTTTCACAGTGAGAAAATTACAAAATGTCTTTATGGAGAACATTGTGATACCAGCAATATCAAGCTAAAATGTGCTTTAATGTAACAAAAAATAATATATAAACCCCATTAATAAATACAAAATAAAAGAAATAGCTGCAAAAAGGTCCACTTTTTTAAGAAAAAAGAGCCTCCCCTATTCACCAGGCTGTCGTCTATTAGCTTCTGTTAAAAATAAAGTTGCAAGTCTGAAAAGGTCTTACCAGTGAGCTAGTATAGGTGGGGTCAGATGTGTCTTCCTGCAGATAACGGGACAGGCCGAAGTCCGACACCTTGCACACAAGGTTGCTGTTGACCAGGATGTTGCGGGCGGCCAGGTCCCGGTGGACGTAATTCATCTCCGACAGGTACTTCATCCCTGCAGCTATTCCTCTCAACATCCCCACCAGCTGGATCACTGTGAACTGACCATCGTTTTGCTGCCATACAACAGAGTAAACGCAGACATCACATTAAATTCACTAATATCTCAAAGCTTGACCTCAAGCAATGGAGATCGTTTAAACTGTAAATACATCTTTATTCTGAAGACTAGAAAAAAAAAAGACCAAAGACAAGACAATGGTGGATGACGTGTAATACTCCAGCAGAAATATAAAGTCCTCATTTTCAATATTATATTTTGACCAATAGTTTTTTGCATCTTTGTGGTGTCTTTGTTTTCTTTCCTTTCCTATGTCTCTTCCTATATATTTTCTGATTATATTTATTTATAATTTATTGATCAATGATTGCATTATGGGATCTTGATCTGTGCTCTGTCGAATTTTGATGTTGAAAAATCAACTCTGCAGTTAAAAAAGTGACTTTTATTGGCATTTTACACGATTAAAATAATATAATGTATAAGAAACAATATATAGACAAATAAGTGTGTAAAATAACAGAAAGTGCCCTGGCAGTTTATTACAAGATCATAATATACAACACCAACACAGACAATATATCACTTTAAACGATTAATAATGTGAATAAAAGTCACTTTTTTTAAACTTTTCAAGGTTAAAAGTTATTGGGGGAAAGATCAAAGTCCCATAATGCAATTTAAAAGCTTAAATAAATATATGAAAACTGCTAATTTACGAATATTTTTAACAGTGCAAAGGCAAACCTTTCATTATTTTGGAAATAAACAGCTGGACGGTTTAAATAAACATCTTATGCCTTTGCACGCCAATAAAAGACACGTATCGATTTTTCTATTGTGCATCATTTCTGTTTAACACTCTTTATCAGTAGCTGCCTAAAAGATGTTTACAGCACACGGTGGGGGACCGTACAGTTCCTGCGAAACTTTAGTACACAGCCGCCATGTTGCACAAGAGAAAGCTTTGAATCGAACGCACGATAACAAACAGAGTGGGGGGTGCGGATCGATGCTGATGCTACTCGGATGTGCTGGATTTCTAAGCCAACTTCAAAGCATCCCTTTATTGCGGCACCAGATCAAAGCTAGCAAGAACCAATCCATGAGATTGAAAAAAATAGGCTGAACATCGATTAAACAGCATACTTCTCCGTGCCACAGGGAAAGAATGAAGCAGAGAGAGAGAGAGAGAGAGAAGCAGACAGACAGAAACACTTGTTTTGGATGTTGCATTTACCCTGAGGAAGGAGTCGAGAGCGCCGTTCTCCATGAACTCGGTGACGATCATCACTGGACGGCTTTTGGTCACCACCCCCTCCAGACGGATGATGTTAGGATGGTCAAACTGACCCATGATCGATGCCTCGGACAGAAAGTCACGCCTCTGCTTCTCCGAATATCCCGCCTTCAGTGTTTTGATGGCAACGTAGAGCTCTCGTTTTCCAGGGAGTTTCAGTCGACCTTTATAAACCTCCCCAAACTCACCTGAGGCACACAGAATAAATGAGATATAATTAACACCATTAGACACACAATAAAGCTACTATTGCTGAAAGAATTTGAATCACTTTAGTTATTGCATTGTGGCAGTAGGTTAAACATTTTAAAAGTGCAAATGAAATCAAAACTACCGATATGGTTATATTAGCATTGGTGCATGTCATTAAGAAAAATATAATGGTTTCTTGTTTGTTTCCAGTTAAATTCTCAGGTTAGCTCTGTCTGAGGCATTAGGCATGGCTAACATACCTCCATTTGTCAGTTTTGACAACAAACAGAAATAGCGAGGAGGAGGTGTCGGTTAAGTTATAAGAACTCTCCCAAAACTCTTTCACCAATATTTCTTTTTTTTATGATTTGAACTTTTTATTGATTTTTTCTACTTCAAATGATGCAGATGAATATCAAATACAGAGCATTAACATGAAAGCAGAACAATACAACATAAATAAAATTAAATAAATAAATAACATCAAATAAAATGCAAACGTAAACCAAACCAGAACGCAAGAAAAAAAAGAAAAAAAGGGGGGAGGGGTGCTAATATCATAAGCTTAATTATTTTTTTGTCTCGTTACATGTTTGCTAACATTGTGGGTTGCAGAAATTTAGAAATTTTCCCCATTTATCAAAATAAATTTCAATTCTTCCATGTAAACTATAGAAGAGTTTTTCATAAGCTGCAACTCTTCCTAACTTAGAGATCCACTCGAAGATCGAAGGTCTACTGTATGATTTCCAGTTTTTAACAATCACTCGTCTGCCTAGCATAATACAGCTCTGTATCCACTGTGATTCAGTTGTATTCATGTGGCTTAAGGAACATGGGTCACCAAGTATGTATAAGCTTGGGCAAAAGTCATACTGGGTCTGCAATATCTTTACAAGGTATTCATGCACCTCTCTCCAAAAATGTTGGACTTCTGGGCATTGCCATAATACATGAAATAGGTCACCTGTTACTTCTTGTTATCACCAGCATTCTGGATCATTTGTGAAACCTGCTTTGAACAGTCTCTTATGAGTCCAGTAAAATCTATGAAAAATATGAACTGTATAAGACATGTTCTAATGTCTCAACGTTAATTTTAAATTCCCAGCAATTTTTCCCCAGGTCTCATCTTCAAATGTGCATTTCCCCAATCTTTCCGAATGAAATCCCTACTTTACTACATGCACTTTGTGATTTTGCCGAGTACGATCCTGGATTAACATAAGTAGATCCTGAAACTGCTTTTATTCTAGCCAAAATAAAACAAATAAGACTTTTTCCAGAAGAAAAAAATATATATTATAGGAAATACTGCAAAAATTTAGGAAATATTTGAAAAGGAGGGCTAATAATTTTGACTTCAACTATATATACACATAGAGAAAAACACACCACGCACCTGCCCCAATGACTTCCTCGATCTTGACCGTCGAGACGTCGATCTCTTTGGCAAATTCTCTGACCGCTTCATTGGGGTCTTCATAGGTGAAGGGGTCGATGTAGATCTTCATGCCCGGAGAGCCTGGCAGTGTCGGGCAGCCCATGGGCGTGTGGCAGTTCGACAGATCTGGCCTAAGAGTGAGCTCTAAAAAAACAGCACAATTCAACACAATTTATTCTCCGAAATGATTTTACACCCTGTTATTAACAGTTTTCATTTCAGTGTGGCTATAAAACAGCATTACGGCAAATCTATTTTATGATCGAAACGAAACGAGGTCAAGTCTAAGCACATTATTATAGAGCATTTCTGTTTTAATGCATTTATCCGAGAAGTAAATAAACAAATGCATTGTGAGTGGCTAAACGAGTGGCAATCTAAAGTGGAGCAAATGTCTCTGAAATATGAAAACTATTACAGTGAATACTGCTTGATGCTGATGATAACAATAGATTCTTATGAACATGTAGAAAGTAAAGAGGGTTGGGAATTGATGTAAATAAAGTCTGCAGCAAAATGATTTTCTAGTTTTCGGATGCGATTAATGGTTTTTAGCATCACATTCAAGAATAATGTGCTATAAATTAAATAATAAATGTAGCTGATTGTATTTAGGATACATTTAAGATGGTTTTGTTTGCCTTTTGTAATTGTATTTGTATGGAATGCATTATGCTATATTATATTATATTATATTATATTATATTATATTATATTATATTATATTATATTATATTATATTATATTATATTATATTATATTATATTATATTTTGATTATATATTTTGAAAGATTAAAATTAAGATTTGCAGGATTTAAAATTAAAATTAAAATGATTTGGGTCTTAAATGCAATATTTAGATATTCATCAGATGCATCATGACTTTTATTCTGTTTTTGAGTAAATAACTATTTGATATTTCACAAAAACAAAAATTATAATAAATAAAACTAAATAAAAAATAGGAATAAAAAATAAAAAAAAATAAAAAAAACATATACAAATAAAAATAATAAAATAAAATAAAAACAAAGTAAAATAAAATTAAATAATATAAAATAAAAAATAAGATAAAAGATAAAATAATAATAATAAACAACCAAACAATAAAATAAAAATAAAATATAATATAATATAATAACTTTAAAATACTACGAAAATAAAAATAAAATAAATACATACATATTTTTAAATACATTGATTTATTTTCATATTGATATTAACAGTATGGTGAAAAAACAATATAAAGGTTGGAAATAGATTTAATTTTAATGGTATATACGTATATACTTCCAGCAACTATATATAGAAGAAGAAAAAAATAAACAGCAAAAAAAAAAAAAAAAAAAAAACGTGTACTTGCTAGATTGCTTACTAGATTTGTCAAGTACCACTGAAAACATTTCCAGAATGTTTAATCTAATAAAATAAAATAAAATAAAACACATAAATAAATCCCAACCTCTATATCCAGCCATTATATTGTTTATTTTTCTTCTCTCTTTCTTGCTTCTTCCTTTAAATAAAATATTATTAAGCTGGTGACTATGCTATCATTAAAGAGTGAGAGTGAAATCTCTCTCTCAGCTTTTCCAGCAGAGCCGAATCAAATTGTCCTCTGCCTTTATTCCCCCACAGGACCTCATATAAACAGATAACACAGACACGCTATCAAAACTCTCCTCATGGCAGAAGATGAAACTTCATGTGTAAACATCACGGTGTGTGTGTGTGTGTGGATGTGGAAAGTAATCTCGGAGAATCAGTGAGAAGCACAAATAAAAGCAACATTACAGAAGCTCTAAAAGGAGGTGTTCATTTCCGCTGGCCAGAAGCAGGTGTAGAAGCTGATGCAATCATGCTGAAAGACACGGAGTAACCTGTGCTTCACAAGAGCTTTAAGAGCGCTGATTCTGAAGGTGGAAGAACGAGAGCCTAGGATCGACACCCGGTGAGATGTTCAAGACTGATGACATTATAATACCACATTCTGTGCTTGCTCGGATAAGTCCAGATTGCAGTGTGAAGTGAGGTAAATTCTGCCTGTTTACTGCGCCAATACATAATGATCATGGTTTAACAGTATCATAGATGCAGGATACTGCAATCAATCAATCAATCAATCAACAAAATGTTAACAGTGCAGATATATGGATAGAAGTATAGACAAATAGATGGATGAACAGACAAATAGACAAATGAACAGACAGATGGACACACTTGTAGATAGATCATGTGGATGGATGGATGGATGGATGGATGGATGGATGGATGGATGGATGGATGGATGGATGGATGGATGGATGGATGGATGGATGGATGGATGGATGGATGGATCGATGGATGGATGGATGGATCGATGGATGGATGGACGGACGGAAGGACGGACAAACTATAGGAGCATGGATGAATCAAAAGAGGGAACTCTGGATGGATGGAGGGATGGATGGATAGATGAATAAACTAAGAGAGGATGAATGGATCAAAAGAGGCAGCACTGGATTTATGGATGGATGGATGGATAGATAGATAGATAGATAGATAGATAGATAGATAGATAGATAGATGGATAGATGGATGGATGGATGGATGGATGGATGGATGGATGGATGGATGAATGGATGGACAGATGGATGGATGGATGGATGGATGGATGGATGGATGGACGGACAGATGGATGGATGGATGGATGGATGGAGGATGGACAGATGGTTGTGGATAGATAAACTATGAGAGGTTGGATGGATCAAAAGAGGGGATATTTAATGGATGAATGGATCAAAAAGGGAACATTGGATGGATAGATGGATGGATCAGTGGACGGATGAAGAGATAAATAAACAATCATATGGATAGATGAAAAGAAAGATAGATGATGGATGGATAGATGGATGGATGGACGGAGAGAAGGACAGATGGATGGATGGATGGATGAATTAATAAATGAATGAATGCATGAATGAATGAATGAATGAATGAATGAATGAATGAATGAATGAATGAATGAATGAAGTATGGGAGGATGGATGAAAATAGGAAGCACTGTATGGATAGATAAATGGATGAGTGGATGGATGAACAGATAAAAAAATAAACAAACAAATAGATAGATAGAAAGACAGATGGATGGATGGATGGATGGAGAGATGGATGGAAAGATAGACGGATGGATGGATGGATGGATGGATGGATGGATGGATGGACAGACGGTTAGACAGACAGATGGATAAACTATGGAAGGCTGGATGGATCAAAAGAGGAAATGGAAGGATGGAAGGATGAATGGATGGTTAAAAAATGGATAATTGGATGCATGGATAAACTATAGGAGGGTGAATGGATGGATGGATGTATAGACAAACATACAGACAGATAGATAGATGTTGAATAGATGGATGGAAAGACGGATGGAGTGTCAGACGGACAGATGGATGAACTATGGAAAAATAGATGGATCAAAAGAAGGAACAATGGATGGATAGATGGATGGGTAGATGGAGAGATAGATAATGTAATTGTTTAATCATGCTTTTCTGATTTCTTTATTCTGATATATGTAAAATACATAAAAATACAACTGTTTCCCAGGGATGGCTTGCGGCTGAAAGGGCATCCGCTGTGTAAAAATATGCTGGATAAGTTGGCGGTTCATTCCGCTTTTTTTAAAAGATCTAAACTCAGACCTGTGATGAGATACAAACTTACAACAAAGAGAACATATACTGATTCTCAAAAACAAAACTGTAAGTCATATGTCAAAAAGATGTTAAAAAAAGCTTATTAAATGCCACAATGTACATCTGAATAAACACATACATTACCACACATTCACATCTATATATATATATATATATATATATATATATATATATATATATATATAAACATCTTTAAAATATTGTGCAGTTTATACATCAGCAGATCCCTTTTAAAAACAAAAGGTTGAAGTTTATTTTTACCACGGCCCGGTCTCCAGTCCTTTCAAAGCTTTACTAACTCTTTAAGTGCACATAAGGGGAAAAATATTAAAAGCAACCCATGATATGAACCCTTTAAGCTGCTGAGGGGTCATGAAGGTCTGCTGAATTATTCATTTCTAACACACACGTGCACAAACCTACAGAGTGCTTTAACTTTAGAAACGCGCCTTTAGTTCATCAATAAGTCAAATGGCAAACAGTTTATCTCCCATCGTCCTCTGGAGTAATGCAGTGTAACAGCTCCACTCCATTCTTATGGCTGAGAGAGTGAAATAAAAATATATATGTTAATATTTCATAGCCACTTGAACCGTGCGTGCCGGGAACAGCAGTGACTGTGAAACTCCCACTGAACTGCCGTCCCGCAGGACAGAGGCAACTAAAAGACCAGAACTTCATCTCAACTTGAGCAGGAGGACAACAGGAGCAAACTCTGGAGAAACAACTGAAAATATGAAAGAGACCCTGAAGACAAGCACTCAACTTCTGTACATTATTGCCAATGATTACTGGTAAAAAAAAATATTAAAAAATCTGGATAAATCAACTGACAATCAGACCAATTTATATTCATTTAACCAATAGCAGAACCATTATTTTAACCAAACACACACACGCACGCACGCACGCACGCACGCACGCACGCACACACACACACACACACACACACACACACACACACACACACACACACACACACACACACACACACACACACACACACACATATATATATATATATATATATATATATATATATATATATATATATATATATATATATATATACACATATTTATATTACAATACATTTACATAAGACTATTTTTAATTTTTTTTTAAATAAAAACTGTATTATTTTATTAAAAAAAATAAATGATTAATTTAAAAATATATGTTGATTACATTTATTATACATATTATATTTTATAAACATTAAAGTTGTTTAAATATTTTTCTTTTTTAATTTATTGTTTTCTAGCCCTCCATCTGGATGATGGCTAGAGCTTTGACAAACATTTAAATCCTGCTTCTTTAGCTTCGACTTTTAAAAACAGTCAAATCTGATCAAATATTCTATCAAGAAAAAAATCTGAAAAAATAATCCATTTTATTATTATTATTATTATTATTATTATTATTATTATTATTATTATTATTAT